ATTGGATATTCTTTCCTGCTTTGTCAAAGATCAGTTGGCCATACTTTTGTGGGTCTAATCCTGGGGTTTCTATTCTATTCCATTGGTCTATGTGTCTGTTTTTGTGCCAATACCATGCTGTCTTGATAATTACAGCTTTGTAGTAGAGGCTAAAGTCTGGGATTGTGATGCCTCCCCCTTTGGTCTTCTTCTTCAAAATTACTTTGGCTATTCGGGGCCTTTTGTGGTTCCATACAAATTTTAGGATTGCTTGTTCTAGCTTTGAGAAGAATGCTGGTGCAATTTTGATTGGGATTGCATTCAATGTGTAGATAGCTTTGGGTAGTCTATCTACCCAATAGACATTTTAACAATATTTATTCTTCCAATCCATGAGCACGGAATGTTTTTCCATTTCTTTATATCTTCTTCAATTTCCTTCATAAGCTTTCTATAGTTTTCAGCGTACAGATCTTTTACATCTTTGGTTAGGTTTATTCCTAGGTATTTTGTGGTTCTTGGTGCAATTGTAAATGGGATCGATTTCTTCATTTCTGTTTATGTTGCTTCTTTATTGGTGTATAAAAATTTCTATACATTAATTTTGTATCTTGTGACTTTGCTGAATTCATGTATCAGTTCTAGCAGTCTTTTGGTGAAGTCTTTCAGGTTTTCCATGTAGATTATTTTGTCATCTGCAAAAAGTGAAAGTTTGACTTCTTTGCCAATTTGGATGATTTTATTTCATTTTGTTGTCTGATTGCTGATGCTAGGACTTCCAACACTATGCTAAACAACAGCGGTGAGAGTGGACACCTCTGTTGTGTTCCTGATCTCAGGGGGAAAGCTCTCAGTTTTTCCCCATTGAAGATGATATTAGCTGTGGACTTTTCATACATGGCTTTTACGATGTTTAGGTATGTTCCTTTTATCCCGACTTTCTTGAGGGTTTTTATTAAGAAAGGATGCTGTATTTTGTCAAATGCTTTTTCTGCATCTATTGATAGGATCATATGGTTCTTATCCTTTCTTTTATTAATGGGATGTATCACATTGATTGATTTGTGAATATTGAACAAGCCCTGCAGCCCAGAAATGAATCCCACTTGATCATGGTGAATAATTCTTTTTATATGCTGTTGAATTCAATTCGCTATTATTGTTGAGAATTTTTGCATCGATGTTCATCAGGGATATTGGCCTGTAGTTCTCCTTTTTTGTGGGGTCTCTGGTTTGAGAATCAAAGTAATGCTGGCTTTATAGAATGAGTCCAGAAGTTTTCCTTCCATTTCTATTTTTTGGAACAGCTTGCAAAGGATAGGTATTAACTCTGCTTTAAATGTCTGGTAGAATTCCCCAAGGAAGCCATCTGGTCCAGGACTCTTATTTTTTGGGAGATTTTTGATAACTGATTCAATCTCTTCACTACTTATGGGTCTGTTCAAATTTTCTATTTCTTCCTGTTTGAGTTTTGGTAGTGTGTGGGTGTTTAGAAATTTGTCTATTTCTTCCAGGTTGTCCTGTGTTGGCATATAATTTTTCATAGTATTCTGATAATTGTTTGTATTTCTGAGGGATTAGTTGTAATAAATCCATTTTCATTTGTGCTTTTATCTATTTGGGTCCTCTCTCCTTTCTTTTTGAG